GGGAGAGGGAGAAGCAGGCCTCCCGCCGAGCAGGGAGCCCGATGTGGGACTCGATCCCAGGACTCTGGGATCATGACCCGAGCCAAAGGCAGACGCCCAACGACTGAGCCACCCAGGCGACCCCGATCATTGGCTCTTAGTAGGAGCTTGCCAACAGAGCCACGTTCGGTGCCTGTCATTAGGATCAAATAAGACCCAGGTGTTATCAATCGGGGGGAGTCAAAACCTTGCAGTTGGATATAACCAAACAGCATAGGCTTTGAGGCCGCACAGGACAGGGTTTTAATGACAACTCAACCCCATGAAAGCTATTTGACCTTAGGAGGGTAAACTCTCAGTAACCTGTTAGAAGAGGATGGTAGATCTCAGTGTTGTGAAGATTTAAGGAATATATATATATTTTTAATTTTATTTAAGTTGAATTAACATATAGTGTGTTATTAGTTTCAGAGGTAGAGGTCAGTGATTCATCCAGTTGCATATAACACCCAGTGCTCATGACATCACGTGCCCTCCTTTATGCCCATCACCCAGTTATTGATTTAAGGAATATTCAAGTAAATACAGATTACAGAACCAGCCACAGGTCGGTACTCAATAAATGCTAGTTTCCATTTCTATCAACTCCCACTCCTCCTCTGCCCCAGTCGTCCCTACAATTTCACCTGCTACACCATGGCATTTACCTGGTCACCTCGGTGAGCCTGAATAACTGTGACATTGCCATTCTCATTAACACTGTAGAGCACGATCTGGCCGGTATAATTTGCCCGAGGAGCACCAGCAACAAAATGGAGGTCTTTTTCAGTAGAAATTGCAGCCACAGAGTAACCTAGGAGAGAAGAGGTTGCAGAGTAGGTACTATTGAAATGCTCAGCCAGATAGGCTCGAAAAGTTAGTAGAGATGACCAGAGGTCCTTTTTCGCTGCACAGTGGGGGGCGGGGGAGTGTGTTAGAAGGTGGAGGACGGTCAGTAGTGTATCCTCCAGACTGAGAAGGTATTTTAATGCTGAAACACAAAGCAAGCCGCTCCGTATTGTTTACGGGTTTTTTTTTTTTTTTTCGGTGTAACTTACTGACAAGGGCAATCCAGCAGGCAGGCAGGCAGGCAGGCACAGACGGACGGACGGACAATCCAAGACACTATGCAACTACTCTCCACCCCTACTCAGAGCTTCATCTCCAGCTTTTATGGAGCAACAGACATGGTGGTGAGGTCACAGGGTCGTTAGCTAAAGTGATAGAATCTGTGTGCTGGAGAAGAGCTCAACGCAGAAGGCCAAGGATGGAGTCACTGTTGTCAGCACTCGTTCCCCGGAGGATGCACAGTTCCCAGTGTCCCTGGGCGCATCACTGCGGGCTCATCTTCCTTTTCCTAAGATGAACTGCTCCTGCCCTGTGACGGAAGCACTGCCCTGCAGAGGCAGGACACCTACCTATAAACCAGGCCCTAGATTTGGGGTTGTCCCATCAGCCGCTCATGAGCTTGGCACTGAACAAGTATTTCTTGAATGGATAATTACATGAATTTAAAACGTAATGTCACGCAGTGTAAAGAACATAGGCTTTGGAATCACACCGTCCCAGGTTCGAATTCTGGATTTGCCACTTACTAAGTTATTTACCTTTGGGAAAGTTATTAACCTCCTGGGCTCTCAAAGTAAAATGGGGATAATAATACTTTCTTCAAAGGGTTGTTGGAAGGATTTTTTTTTTCTTAAGTAGTTTCCACACCCAGCTTGGAGCCCAATGCAGGGCTTGAACTCATGACCCTGAGATCAAGACCTGAACTGAGATCAAGAGTCAGACACTCAACCAACTGAGGCACCTAGGCATCCCTGGAAAGATTAAAATGTTTATGTAGATAGATTTGCCAGCTCAGGAACTGTCCCATAGTAGGTGCTCAAAATCCGTGGCTGCTTATTATAGGAATAAAAAGACTAAGAACTCTAAAGTAATATAAGACTACCACTTACTGTATTGGCTTTTAGGAACTGTTTCCATTTTAGAGAAGCACAATCACAGCTGCTTGAACAGCCAGAAGAGATCAGCAAGTGTAATACAGTGTGTCATTAAAGTTTTAGGATAAGGCCCGATTTGCAAAGAGGCAACATAAACATGTGCAATAAATATAATAATTAGATGACACTTCAAGGGTTTTGCTGAACAGATCCCGAGATTCAGCAAGGGGCTCGTTTTAAAAAAGGGAACTTAAATTTGCTGAGTCAAATGCTGCTATGCCTTACCTAAATACGAACTGTGATTTTTATCTTGCAGAATTTGGTCAAAGGCTTGGTTAGGAAAGATCAAATGTCCATGAGATGTCTGCTGGACAACAGTCCCGCTCCAGGCATAAGCTCCTACTGCACCCAGCATCAGAATATCCTGAAATAATTGAAAAATGAAGATCATGAGCACAAACTACCTTTAAAGCACAAGAATGCAGCGTATGCAAAACATTGAAATAAATGGCCTAGATTTAAGGAGAAAATGAAGTAAAATGTATATGAATGTATGCTGATATATGTCCACATTGTTCTACTATATTTTGCGCTGGAAAACTAGCCTTCCCCCAGGCCATGTTACCTTGATACATTCTGTAGATAAATCTCTACTACCCTACAGGAGGAGCCCATAGCCATCTTCCAATTTCCATTCAAAGGTGTACATGGACAAATGCCGAACAGTTGTGAGCCTCCTGTCCCACATATTCATGAGTAAAGCTCAGGGTGGGATGTGAGGCATGCTTGAGAAGTAGGAAGGGCGGCTGGCAGAGGAGGAGAGGTGGGGCCCTGCTGCTATCCAGCCACGTCCTCTTGGGAGGCCCTCTTCTGACCTATTCTATTTTCCAATGTTCTTCCTCTTTCCTCTTGACTCCTTCTCAAATGTTCCTCCATCATCTATATCCTAGTCCATCTATTGGAAGATAGCAGAGCTACAAAAGGTTACCATAGGGTGACATTCTATCTACTTGGAGAACAGCCATGGGTCAGCATAGCACCAGGAGAGGCTGGTACACAAACCAGGACAGGATGCTCTGGACTGACTCAAAATCCAACCAGGATCATCAAAGCTGAAAATCATCGTAGAGGGCAGGGTTTGTCAGGATGGGATTTATTATTTTTAAGTTTTTGATCTTAGATCTCAGAAAACATCAAAGATATGGATTTTGGATTGAAAAATATAAGCCATTAAAAATAGAGCAAAAAGGAAAATGTGTCCCATTTTGAGGACAAGAGACCATGAAATTGTGTTAATGCCTGTCATAAATTTGGGACTCCACATCAGGGTGCAGGAAGGGACTTCAGGACATGTACAAAAACCTCAGGAAGTTGTGTGCGGTATTTCTGAGGGAAAAACCCATAACTTTTACGAGCATTCCTAATGATTGGTGATCCAGACGAAGTCAGCACCTTTACTTCTAGAGCAAAAAACCAAGCCATTCCTGGTCCGTCCTTCTGGCAATCAAGTCCTCTGAGTTCATACTGTTCCCTAAGCTTTTCCAGTGTTGCCCATCTCTGTGTCCCCCTGCTGCTCCACTGGGACCCTGAGCAGAGTTGGAACCAGAGCCTGGGGAAGTGGATGTTTATGAGAAGGAAGAACACATTTTCTGAGCTAAGAAAGCTTTCCATCTCACATGTTTCCTAACTTCTCACTTTTTTCAACTATCTTCTGTCTCTGCTTGTTGAAAAGAGATACTCGGCACCTCAGAATTCAAGAGTGGCAGTGATGACAAGAGTTTGTGTTTTGTGTTTCGTTTTTTTAAAGATTTATTTATTTATTTGAGTGAGGGAGTGTGTATGCATGAGCTGGGGGAGGAGAAGAGAGAGAGAGAGAGAGAATCTCAAGCAGACATGCCACTGAGCATGGGGTGGGCTCAATCCTAAGACTCTGGGATCATGATCTGAGCTAAAATCAGGAGTCACTTAACCAACTGAGCCACCCAGGTGCCCCAAGAGTTTGTGTTTTTAAATAAACTTTTCCAGTAGTTAATTGATTTAAAGGAAATTCCTGCAACGATAATCCCTTGAGTTAATATAGTGCCTGTCCCTTGGAGTACTCATACACATTGCATATTACCATTTTTTCCATAAAAAATCCCCGTGAAACAGGGAAGGGAAGGCGTTATTATCCTTCATCTTTTAGATGACAAATCAGCAGCACAAAGAAACTGAATGACTATGACTGGGAATCAGAACTGTTGATCACTAGATGGCTGTTTTTTCCATTCTATATATAAAGCTACTGTGCCCCAAAGTGTTCAGCCAAATGACAGCATGGCCGGAAGTTATCTGATATACACACGTTCTGAGGAGAGTAATCTGCGCTGATTCCCACTTGTGACATTTCCATCTGGAAGTTGTCTCCTCCTTGAACAGTACCTGGGAGATGGTAATTTCAAGAATTATATCACTGTCAGTTTTTAAATCAAATTTTCAAACACACATGCATGCGCATACACACACAAACACATGTGCACATGCACATATATGGACACACACACACACATACCCCCACAGTGTTCTGATGTTCGCTCAAAAATATAGAGCTGGCAAATTCTGGGAGGGAGAAATCACTAAGGAAGTGTTCTAACAACAACCCACAAGACTTCCAAGGTAGTGTTTGAAATTGATGTTAATCTTGATTATGCATTAATGCACTTATTGGTATGCTTATGATGTTCCTGATATCAAAAACACTCAACATACGGGATGAGGTAAAATAAAACCTGAAGTGATGGCCTTTTTTAATAATTATTATTACTAGCTAAAAAACTAACTGAATTTTTAGCTTTTAAATATTGGTACTAGTAAGTGTACACACATCTTAGATGCAGTTGGAAGAGCCAGGCAGTTGATGTGTAATGAAGACCAAACAGATATTTGGGTTAGGCTTCAGGATCCAGGGTTCAAGACTGAGTAGGAATTTTACCAGTTAGGAAGTTTGTCCTCTTTCTACATATGTGCTTGCCTCTGACACTCAAACCACAGGACCTAATTAGTATTAATTTTCCATACAGTGTGGTCAATTACACTTCATTAATCTTCACAAAAAGGAATAAATTCCTGGACTACCACTTGGATATAGAGAGTGATATATATAATGTATACCATACGACACAGTCACTTGTTTAGAAGATGTAATAATGTACACAGGTTGAGTAGAGATAATTTTTTTAAAGGTTTTTATTTTTAAGTAATCTCTACACCCAACATGGGGCTCGAACTCACAACTCTAAGATCAAGAGTTGCATGTTACACTGACCAAGCCAGCCAGGTGCCCCAAGATAATTTTTAATAAAGTAGAGCAGTGCTTCCCCAAAATCCAAAATAGCAGATAAGGCACAAAATCATTTCTAATTAGCATTTAGGTTGCATTGTGATTATTCATGTTCAGGCAACCACAAACAAGCATAAGTCATACCATAGGTAGCCAAATAATTTTATATTATTTTATATTATCTCAAGGCACATTAGATTTTGACAATGATTTCAACAACTCAGAAGTACCATTGGATGTTTAAAGAAGCAATAATATTTTTTGTGTAGAAGTTTCCAGTGGATAATCAGGAGGTGAAGAAAAGACTAAGGAATGAATACTTAATTTAAGCAGTGCCCTTGGACCAAGTTTCTGAAAGAGAACTTGACCTATAATAGGTGCTCAATAAAATAAGCTCTTTATTGCTGAGAGTTATTTGGGTTAGCCACCAGGAACCAGAATTTGGGGACTTTTTACCAACTGGGAAGTGTGTTCCATACAGTGAGTTCTTGAATATGTGGTATTTCTACACTGACTAGACCTTCCAAGGCCATTTAAGTAAATTATTGTAGATCTGGGAAATAACAAGTTTCCTTGAAATCTGAACTATTAAAAATCTTCACTATGTTTTTCTAATTTTAAAAGTATACATGTTTGTTGTAAATGAATTCAAGAATTTCAGAAATTATGTAACAGTATAAAAAGGTAAAACTTTTAGATTATAAAAACTATGCGGGGTAAAAAGGTAAAACTGTTCACAGTTATAGTAGATATTACTAAATTGTCTTCCCCCCAAAGCTATACAATTTATAATCTTATCAATAGTGTATGAGCTTCTTTGCTTCCCCATAATATCTCCAAGATTATATATTACTATCTTTTAGGCACAAAGTAACATTGATTTAATTTACAATTTAAAATAATTACTGAAATTGGGAATATTTTCTTATGTTTATCAGCCATTTGTATCTTATCTTTTATGAACAACTCACTCATGTTGTCTATTTTTCTTACTGATTCATAGGAGTTCTTTTCTTTTCTTTTTTTTTTTAATCTTTAAGAATATTTTATCAAAATCTTTTCTTTTACAAATGGAGAAATAAAGGTCAACAGAATCGAAATGCTTTGCTTGAAGTCCACACCAAATTGGTGTAAAACAAAACCCAGGTCACCTGTCTAGCATTAGGGCCATAGAGAAAATCGTCACCATAGGAGTTCTTTTCATATAAGGTATATAAGTTAACATTAACAGAGCAAGAATACAGTAATAAAATCAAGAATTCTTGAAAAAAGTTTTTGAAAGATGTTCTTTTACCTTCAATGCTAAAAATTTGTTCTCCTAGTGTCCCAGCCTTTTCTAGTAGAGCTGCTTCATCAGACACGTTGAAAAAATATCTTTCTGTTGGAATACTGGCAATTGCTTTAATTTCTTTTATTAAATTTTTAGTATCAAGGGCATTTCTGTTTAAGTACCCAAGAACCTTAAAAATAGAGGAAGAGGGGAAAAAAGTCATTATAGCTGTACTCCAATATCCCTACTAGCACTTTCTAGTATTTATTTCTGAACACAATAGGACCTCTGGAGAAGTAAATCCACACCCCCTTCGTCAACAGGACTGAAAATCAACAAGAAGCGAGACAGAGTGCAAATCTTTTCTATAAAGCTGTGAACACCAAATGAGAAAGTGCAGTCTTGCGAAGTGATGTTATAAAGGAGCACTCACCCATCCACTGAAAGACAACTAAAAAGAAAATCTACTTACTGCTATGCCAAACCTCAGTATATTGTCATTGTTGCATTGATCAATCACGGCTTTCAACATTGAACCGTCATGCGATTCACCATCAGTTACAACCACCATTACTTTGGTGGCACCCGGTCGTCCTCCAGCCGCTGCTGCATAAGCAGAATCTCTGTGGCAGATAAGATTAAAGACTCATGATCAAAAGATGAAGCTAATATGTGGACCTCTGGTTAGAAATATAAATGTGAAACTAACTTCTTGGAGCATGACCTACTGTGACTTAGAATTTCTCTCTATAGGTCTGGTGACATATTTACCTACATTCTATTTGCAGCTTATAGGGAAATATATCTAAATCTTACTTGGCATTAACAATAATTTCTATAGTTTCTATGGCATGTGTGTGTGTATTTACATCAAGAATCCTTAGGATTATCTTCTGATAACAAAATTCAATTCATTAATATTAATCAACAGAGCAAAGATATTCAGTCCTATCACCAGTTTTACTCACTGGATCTGCATTTACTTTCTCAATATGAAATTGCTTTTTAAAAAGTAATAAATACACTTGGCGAAAGAATGTCAAAGCATTTGGAAAGGTATAAAATAAAAATCTGACACCAAGCCACTGTTCCAAAGGTAACCACCTTTATCTGTTTGTTTCCTTATAGAAAACATTTTATTTAGATGTATATGCGTAATCTACTCCTCAAATGTTCATGCAAATGGGGACATAGGCTAGCCAATTATTTTTCATTTTTTAAAAAGACTTTATTCATTTATCTGACAGAGAGAGAGAGGGAGAGAGAGAGAGCACAAGCAGGGGGAGCAGCAGAGGGAGAGGGAGAACCAGGGTCCCTGCTGAGCAGGGAGCCTGATGCAGGACTCCATCCCAAGACCCTTCCAGGGAAAAATACCACATCCATACTTCCTGCTGAAAACACAGGCCCTCTGCAGTTTGTAGCTCCTTCTAGGCCATTCTCCATGTCAACCTACTGTTCCTCTGAGTCTAGGTTACTAGGCCATAAAGGGCACTTTGCCAGTTAGCAACTGACCTATTAACTGGCCACAGCTTGTGAAATGGTGTGGCCCAAAAGAACATCTCAGTAAGGACAATAGAGATTAACCAAATCAATCCACTTGTAGGAAATCCACTTTTGAGACATATAGGGAAAGTCACCAGTTGATAGAAACAGCAACTAGCATATACACCCAGAAAAAAGGAGGGGCAGATACAATAGGAAATGCAGAAATAGGAAAGACAGGATACATGGTGACTGGCCAGACATGTGCTACTAAGGAAGAACAAAAAGAATAAAGAAAACCTGCAAGTGCTTACTTTGAATGACTAAGGGGAAAGGCAGTAGCATGAATCAAAATGGAAAAGTCATGAGCATGGGTAGGGAAAAGAATAAGGCTGGTTTAGGATGTACTGAATTTGATAAGTGAGCCAACACTCCAAATTAAACATCTCCAGCATCAGCTGGATGCCTGTATGAATTCTGGGAGAGAGTTCAGAGCTGACCACATAGCAATGTGGTGACCTACACAGGGCTAATGGAGATGCCATGAGAGTGGAGACAATGCCTAAGAGGAAAGCGAGACAAAAAAAGAGGTCTCTGTTTAGTGAAGAAAAAATAGGAAAAGGAGCCAATGAAGAGGCAAAATTGTTGCAGAAAGTTGGCAGGGATTCTAAAAGTTTGTGATGTCATGGCAACTGGGGCTGGAATAGCAGTGTGTGCTCATCAGCAGCAGATAGTGAGGGAAGCTAAAGAGGATGAAGTTTGAGGCAGGACCACTGGGTTGCTGGCTGATAAAGAGGCCCACGTTTACCCGGTGGCAAGCCATATGTTTCAAGGAAGTGGAGGGAGGGAGTAAAGACAATTTTTCAAGGAGTATGGTAGTGGAAGGAAGAAATGCACAACACAAGGACAAAGGCAGGAAGTGGGTTTAAGGGAAGGTGAAGTTATTTTTCTCATTTATTTTTTTAAGAATAGGAGAATCTTTAGCATTTTTGTAAAGGTATGTGATTAAAACAGAGTGAAGATGAACGCAGGAGTGCTGAGAAAATAGAGAAACTGAGCTAAAAATTAAGAGCGTTGCATAGTTGTAACATTCACATTGCCCTGGGTTGTAATAAGCATAGTGAACCCATTCCATTTAATTCAGACTCCTAGGTCATTAACATTTAAGATTCTATGACCCTTCTTAATATGCATGAAGTGCTCCATTAGCTCAAGTCGTTTGTGGCCTTGATAAATATTAACAAATAATTGCAGATTGCTCCATTTCCTACTTAATCTAAGGTCTTTTAATGTCGTTTCATCTACTTCATATACAATCTTTATTTTATTTTTTTTTAAAGATTTTATTTATTTATTTGACAGAGAGAGAGACAGCGAGAGAGGGAACACAAGCAGGGGGAGTGGGAGAGGGAGAAGCAGGCTTCCCGCGGAGCAGGGAGCCTAATGCGGGGCTTGATCCCAGGATCCTGGGATCATGACCCGAGCCGAAGGCAGACGCTTAACGACTGAGACATCCAGGTGTCCCGCATATACAATCTTTAAAAAAATCATGGAATATCTTTTAAAAGTCCTAGAAATCAAAGATTTTAAAATTTCATTTCCTATTGCCTTTTCAAAGTGTTCAAGTGACAGAACGTTTGAACTTTTCTTCTTTATTACTTCTGATTTAAGTGTAAAGTACCAGGTACATTATTTTTGTCTTTTTTTTTGGTCTTTCTTATTTACAAGCACTTCTATTTTATCAAAATATTGGGCTATTAGCATCATAACTTACTTTGCATATTGAATTGCTTTGAATGTATTTGTGAGGTCTCCACCATACTGGTATGTCTGGGATGTTGCTTCAATCATTTCAGCTTTGGTTTTGAAAGTGTTCAGGTTAAATACAACTCTAGGATTGTTGGCATACTGAATTAACCCCACCTTCAAGAAAGCAGAAGTTCATTAAAGGTTTGTCATTAAGTTATAAATAATTTCTAATTAACCAATATAATCAAAATCAAAAGTGCATCTGGATGTGGGCTGATAGTATAAGGGAATCATTTCCAATTTTGTTCTTAAGAATAGTTATTTTTCTTGCAATAGAATGACTTCTTTGTTAGAGGCTGTCAGGAAAAAGCAGCAGTACTTGTTGATAAGCAAGATGAGGTCCTATCTGGTATAATTTGGTTCTCAAGAGTAACAGTTACATATTTTCAACTATAATAGTTATAGATTATCTAGTAATAGATTTTAAAGCACTGTCTTGTAATATTTTAATATGGATAAATATTAGAATAAAGTTCATTAACAAGAAGATTAAATGATATAAATTTTCTAATTAACAATGGATATGAGCTAGTAAACAATTATAAGCAGTCATAGATGGAAGATAACAGCTCATCAATTGAGAATATTTG